AACTACTCCTCCCCCCTCCCCTCTCTCTCTCTCTCTCTTTCTCCATCCGGTATAATATACAAAAAGTCGCACATAAAACTTCATGAATTTTGAATTTTTCAATTTCCTCCATGAACCATTTCGAGAGATAAGGTGCTTACTTCTGTTAGAAAAAAGCCTTCTAGTGGCGAGCGAGCGGAATACTGGATGGAATACCGCGTAAAGCAGCGGAGCTTCTGGGAAAGAGGACAAGTGAAGTGGAGAACTTGAAAAACGATAAGAGAAGTAACGTTCTCGGCGGTGGAAGGAAGTATCTACCAGAAAGAAGCATGCCATCCGCGAACAGCAGGGGAAAGAAAGTGCAGGGATAAAAGACGGGCGAGAGAAAGGCCCCGTAATAGGCCACTTGTAACGAATCGGGGAGTGCAGTTAAAGCGGGGATATATTCAAAAGTCCATCCCTGTCGTCGCGCCACGTCCTTAATGCACATCCGTTTCCCTTCCTTTATTTCGGCTATCGCGCGGCCGAAACGCCGCCTTTTCCGACGCAAAAGCTTGATAAAACCTGACACGACTCTTTTTTATTTCGAACGTCACGCCGTGGAATTGTCGACTTCCTCGTGCGAAAAGTTCAATGAAAAGGTCGATCTCAAAAAATTAATAATCTCCACGATTAAGTCCAAACGTCCATTCAACATTGTTTTTTATCGATATATAAGCATTATATATTCAGAGAAGAATTGTAATTTGTCAAGTTGCAAATATTGTTTAATTAACCATTGTGCAGTTAGTACACGATTTTCCACGAATTTTACTGCAAAATGGAAGATTATAAGATGTTATAAATAATATTTTCAGCGTATTTATAAATTATTTCAAACGATGAAAAATAGTATTCTTAAATAATGGTACGATGATATTTAAAGTTAAAAACAAAATATATAATATTAATCTGCTTGGCTTGTCGCATAAAAGTTACGAATAATTAAATCATACTGGGATACACTGTAAAACGTTTCTTTTTCACGGTGTTTGACAAGTGTTTATCAAGAGTAATCCGAACAAATAAATCTTCCTTTTGCAGCGATTCTTTTGCCCTGATTTCTTCTCGTGCACCTAGTCTCGTAAAGGAAGCAGACAAGGAGTTATGAAGAAAAAGAAAAGGATGAGACATGATAACGGAGGAGAGCCGAGAATCTTTGAAGGTGACCAATTGAGAAGAACGGGCGATATAACGAAAAATAACGGGCGGTAGTACGGTGCAGGAGAAATGTCCATTCGCGCAAACAAATGCTCCTTAAGATCGCCGAGTCGACGAGATATCTTAGAAACGTCTACAATATCTATGAATATTCTGTATCTGATATTAGAAAAATATTCATTTATGAAACAATGTTGAGCTATTCTTAAGACATAAATATGAAACCTTTCGAAGATAGATTAGAAAAATTTAAGAAAAGAATTCAATTCTGAATTTGTTAGGGAATTTTCTGAAATATACTTCGGCGTGTCTAGGATAATTTGTGATAAACGTACATCTCATATCGCGTATTAGCGCCACCGCTAACAGTTTTCTTAATATACGCGATATAAATAAATTTCTCGAAACATATGATAATCCGCACACGTCTTGCCCATCCCGGACCACTATTGAAATTTACGCCAACGCGAGGGAAACGCGGCCTTCGCTGTCGTCATGAAAGGAAGCGGCCGTGACACTTATTTGGTCAAACGTGGCGGGGCACGAGAAGGAAGAGAGACGGATATATCCCCCGGTATATATCGTACAAATGGAGCAGAAAGGAGCGGAAGGGGTGGACCCCTTGATGTCGAATAATCGTGCCCATCTTTCCACGCTGGCATGGCCGGCGGAGGTGCAAAAGGTGGACCCCACCTTCTCCGCAAACGCGTCCCCTTCGCGCCGCCCGTATAACCCACTGGTCCTGATGTCTCTTCCTTCCTAGTGCACGCGGGCCCCCCGGACCCCCACCTAGGGTACCAATCCGCTTCCCTCTCCCGGGCCGTTCCGCGCGCGCGTGCACGCACACTGGCGCACGCGCACACCCACGCATTCACAAATGCTGGGCTCACGCGCGACACACATACACACACACACACACACACACACACACACGTGCGCACAGTAGGGAAACGTTTCTCGGCTCCGTTCCGTCTCTTTCTAGCACACGCGCGCGGTGGAAAATCAATATAGGGAAACCAGGAAGCAGCGGCAGGGCGTCGACAGCAACCTCCGTGCAGGCTCCATCCCGGTACCACCCCTACTCGCTGTCCCCGTTCTCTCGTTGTGTATCCCCTCTCTCCGTTAACCCTCACGCGATTCCTCTCCTCCGCTAATTTCGTTCCCCGTGCCCTATTCGTTTTTTGCTTGTCTATAGTCAACACAGTGTTCATAATTTCCATTCGCGTTGAGCTTCAGGGACCCCCTGTGGAGTCATTCACGCGATTGTTTATTGGCGATCGGCAACGTCTTGACCGTGACTCCGCTAGTATCTCGGTAACCATCCCTCCGATAGGAGGTCACTGCGCAAATATTTCCCCCCACCAAGTAGGTAGGCATGCGGGTCGGGACAGGGAGAGGGATGGAAGACCGCCGAGGAATTGGGTGATCGCGGATGGAGACGCGAGGAAAACACCGCAGCATCGTATGTACACGTCGGGAAACGTTGGTTCCCGTACCACGACACGGGTTGTACATCACGGAGATGTATCTTCGGAAGTACCGCCAGCGATTCGTTATTCCATCCGTGCGCGAGAGGCGCATACCTATATCGCGTCCTACCTCCCCGCGACCGAACTCGCGTATCGACGAATTGATGCGCAGCATCCGGAACGCAAGCGTGGGATCGACAATAATCCCCTTCGATCGAAGATACGCACAACGCCACGCGACTCTCCTCCCGTGCATCTGCTGCGAGGATTCCAATCGACTCAAAACCCCCCGCGACCCTCCATGGTTGCGAGGCGCGCGTGGTCGCGGTTGGCCCAGTTCCGAAGTTGGTAGCTCGTAAAAAGCAACGACACCTCTTCTCCACTCGCAAGCCTCATGCATACATGTGTGCGTGTGTGTGTGTGTGTGTGTGTGTATGTGTGCGCGCTAATACTATCGTTCCTCTCTGCTGACCCTACGTTTGCGAATGACCCGTGGCCCTGTCATGGGCACATCGCAACGTGGTCGGGGATTGAATTATGGCGAGCGGAGCAGAGGTGCTGAATGTAATCCAGGAGTGGTCCGGGAACACGGGTGTAAACGCACGTAAATTTTCTAGGGGCTGACATCGCGTGTCCATCCGTTTTGCGCAGTCTCTGCGAGAGCAAGGCGGCGTGACGTAATGTCCGCACAACCGGTACGGCACATCCCGGTTTGCGTTTGCGGAGAAACGGGAGAAATTTTGTCTCCCCCCCTCCCCCGCGTCCTTTTAACACAGATATCATCCGATACCTCCAGAGGTACCCGTCTCACGTACGAGAGGGTTCTATCTTAAGAATGGCGCAAGACAAAGATGTGTACTCGAGTTCCATATACTCAAATTCTATGTACTATGTACTAGAAAATACGCGACTTTTCACCATATATTAAAAAACATGGAATTACGTTGCCCTATATCATTTTTTAAGATCCGGAAATAAAGCCTACATTAGTAAATAAAGCGGGGGCGCCAGAATGACACCCACGCACGAAAACCGCAAGCTAATGACCCATCAAACGTTCATTAGGATACCCTTAAAGCGTATTACTAGGTTCTTACCCTAGATAAACGTGCGATTAATTACACGATAAATAAATCTATAGACGAGTTACGAGAAGGGGGATATAGGAAAGTCGACGTCCGGAAGTAAGTCGGACGACGATTAATTTCACAGGGAGGGTAAATAAAGGCCGAGAGAGAAACTAAAAGGGGAGAAACGTAGAAAGGGGAGTAACGCCGGGAACGGCCGTGCATTCATCAGGTGTACGGGAGCGCCTTCAAATTTCGCGTTTTTCCTCATGCACGCGTTTAGTCTAGACGCGAATATTCCCATTCTAGCGAGATCATCTTTGCCACCTTTTGTGCATCGTCGTCCTTTCTTTCGGCCTGAACGGCGCGGCGCCGACGTGTTTATATTCCACCCTCGCGACGCTCGTCCGCGCGCGACTACTTTACATGCGTTTACACGCGCGCACGTCTACGTCCCGCATTTGGACCGCCGCGGGGGGAGGGCGGTCGCGTCCTCATTGTGATAGTCGGAATATCCATTATCCAGAGGAGCCGAACGCGACGAGTAATTATTATGTCGGGCGACGCGCGACGCGCCTCGTCGTCACGACGTTGCAAAGAGAAACGGGCTGGAGGGGCGCGGGAGGAACGGAACGAAGAAAATAATAACGCGGGAGCGAAAATGTATTACACCGCGCGGCAAGGGATGGAACGGGGAAGAATTCAAGCCGGGAGGCTATGATATTCCGTCGGTGTCTGTTGCGGCATATTACGATTGTATTTTATCTCGGGGTGTGCCTATACTCGCGTATCCGGCATCTGATACCGGAATGAAAGTTACCTTGTTACACATCGCGCACGTTCCCCACCCACACATGTAGCACGTGGAAATAATTAATTTAGCTGATTTATCTGTAATTCCAACAGATCCG